CCCTCACCAAGTCCGCTACACTTGAGTCAGTCGCGACGATATTACTTACAAGCCCTCTTCACGGGGGGCTTGGGGGACAGTGTGATACGGGAATGCTTAACCGGGCAGGAGACACCAGAAACGGACTTTGTAACTATTCCCAGATTGTTTGCTCGGACTTTGTCGATCTTGATAGCTTAACTGTCAGTGTCAGCGTCAGTCAAGGAAGACACGAACAACAAAACGTCTGAGTGTCTTTGGTCCTTTGATATGTACCATCGATACCGGACGGACCGTCATGCCAAACTCCCCTGCCTTACGCGGCTCGTTGATGATCGACGACGGAATGTCGCAGCGACACCCAGAAGCTGGCACTTCCTCTCACTAGCTGTAGATCTGATGACACCAGAGAACCACGATTTTGAGTGTTGGATAGAGAAGCGTTTCGACCGTTGCGAGGATAAAGATTCGTTAACTCCGATGAGACACAAGGACACAGGATGCAAGCTGTGTCGCAAATAAACTGCGTAGTACGGTGCTAGTGTAGCATGTTCCTGCTGCCAGCCGCACAAGCTGTTCCCGAATTGTACTGTTATTACTGTTACAGAATGGATAGTACATAGATTCACAATGGCAGTATGCTAAAGGCCCATGGTTCATACTAAATGAGCCTAGACAGATCGAATACGTAGCTCAGACCGGAGACTCTTGATCAAGACTGCAGTTCGTGATGGAAAGCGCTCCGACGTGAGAGACAGAAGAAAAAAGCAATGAAACAAGGATGACAGCACAGGCATCACAGAAGAGAATTATGGAGGTTCCTCTTCTAGATGGCTTCTGTGCTGAAAAGCGCTACTGCTACGGAGTAGTGATTGAGAGACCCTGGCGCTCCTCGGGCGATCCCCCTTTAGTAGCGTCTGCAACGACCCATCAACTAGGAAGACCCTGGTCAGGAGACAAGGAGCTTGGCAGACTAGCAGTATCGTTTGACATTCAGTGGCCTATGTGGAGCAATAGTGACAATGCTCAGTGAAGATGCTTCAAACGGCTGAAACGTTGAGTAGCCGGAGTTGAGGGCGCAAAAGGAGCAACAATGCGGAGAAGATGGATACAGTAGGACACGGCAGTATTGGAGCTGGACGATAATACTAAGATAATGCCGATTGACTGCGGGAGGCGGGACAGACGCGCCTCGATGCAATGAGCCGATATCGTCTCGTGCTGAGGAGCGGAAAGACACCTAAGTTGGTGTTATTGAGGATGGTGATGATGGCGATGAGGGGCATGTAAAGTATCGTTTAATAGATTAGTACCATGACAGTGCTTAAGTGAGAAATGATAGCCAAGCCTGAAACTTCCACTGTAATTAACTCTGAGGGTGTTTGTTGACGATACATACCTGCCTGCAGATGCTCTGAAAACGAAAACAAATGGATCATGATGCAAGGTACAATGGATCGCGAGTGACATGGAGCCCCAGCACTTTTACTCTTGCGTCAACCGGTAGGTATGTAAGCTGTAACAGCAGCTGTTGGCCAATCGCAACATCACATCGCACGAGATACTTGAAGTAACTCCTGAACACGACCATAGACGAATATTCGCCGTTTTAAGGTCGTATTAAGCTCAGGGCACTTATAGCGCACCTCAAAGGATTTGAGAACCTGACCTGACCTGGCCTGACGTTTCGGATCAAGTTCCCTGGCCTGTGATGATGGGCACTGCAGGCTGAATGAAACTCGGATCCGAGCCGAAATGATCAAGACTGCAACTCTACGGCTCTACGGCTTTATCAAGCTCAAACAACAAACATCGCGAATGGGTCCAAGTTCTGTATGAAGGGTGTTTCAACTGCAGAACAGAGCTTCATCAGTATCATGCAGTTAGTCATCTCTCTCAAGCCTATACCAGCCAGCCTTATTAGCCCATCGTGCCGTGCATCGAAGCCATCGAAGAGCTGTGACAACTCCACAGTTCATAAGGATGACCCCTATTTGTATGTGCATATGTATATGTTTCGTTGCCCGCAGATCGGTTGATTTTCCGTACAGTACGGAGTATGTACGTATGGCTACTGAAGTTGACTCCTCAAGCCAGAGACAACCATGTTCACATGTGGTGCCGTTCTTTCAACACTTCAATTGCGATATATGACTGATAACTTACTATTGATATCTTCTGGAAACGAACCATCAAAAAAGAAATTTCTCGGCCGTGTCCGATTGGCTTTTCGAACCATAAAAGCATTAACATCGTCATGATTGCCGTACCTAGCTTCTGCCACTGTTCATAGTCTCCCACTGATGCCATTCGATTGTCCGCCTGCATTTTGGCTTTCATGATCATCCCGCCGCCGGGCAGCGCGCTATACTCCAGAAGGCCAGGTCTTGTCTGAATCGATTGGGACGAACGACAAAGCTCCACCGGCTTCCAAAGCTAATCAAGTTGTTCTGCAACCGGCCATACATAGAGTAGAGAGCATAGCGATGCAACGAACGACTGGAGTAAGAGCAGGTATCTTCATTAATTTGGATAGCAACTAACTAACTAGCGGGTGCTTTTCCTTTTGCGAGAGTCAAGACATCGCTTCACTAGCTGATGAGACGGCCTTGTCAATGCCTGCCCGTTCGCTCCAACTTACAAACCATGCCATGCCATGCCATGCCCATCTCCCATGGATACCCACAACCAAGCAGATGGCACCATTACTCCACCTCACCGTGGTCCTGGTCTGGCTTTGAATTGGTTCCTGGAAAAGGTTCGCTCGTTTGAGGACGGGCTTTAGCATATTGTTGAATTGGGGAACCGGCTCTTTGCAGGTGCTGGTGAATGTCTTCCTATCGCTCGCCATGCAGCACTGTCACAGCAGAATGCGATGATCATCACCATGCATTTAAGTGCATGGCTTTGGTTTGGTTCCCGTCACGAGCCAGAATAGGTGGGAGCTTTGCTGGGCAACCAATGGATCGACCAGTTACGACATGGGGGACGTCCAGTAGAAGCTGGATCTCTCAAGCGATACTGAAGTGGGGGAGGCTCCGAGCTCAAGGCTGCGCTGAGGAATATACACACTGTACACTTGGATGGATGCAAGCAGTGATTTGTGTACCTATCTTTGTAAGGTCACTCCAGGAATTAGAGACTGCAGGCTTTCACTCTGGTGAGTAGCCAGCCAGGCCTGCTGGGCTTGTCAGCGACCTGGCGTGCTTTTGATGCTCTCCAATCTCCCAGAAAGTGCTCTGAGGGTGATGAAATGGAGTGCATGCGGAGAGGGTCTGTCCCCTGGAATCCGCTTTGATAACCTCCAGGATGTATTGGATGGTTACCAGGGTCCAGAGTTCCCTGGCCCTCACTTCAGGTACACTTTGAGCACCGTACGATTTGCTTCGACAGCAATTGCTATCTGAATTGGAGTGAGGAGAGCTTTCCTGAGGTATATTGTCACACGAGGAATTCTAGCCTTCCCACAAAGTAAGTATCTCTGTTGATTCAGCGGCTCGTGATAATGGACAGACAGGCTGTGAAACCATCTTCCACTCACCCAATCTGTACATAACCCGGGTAATAAACGAGATCCATGGATCCTAATGCAAATGAAAGTGTCCGGGGCTAAAGCGGTAGCAGAGGACCCTGCTAACCAACTCTAGTAGGTAAGGTTTACCAGAAAGGTACCAGATAAACACTGAGGTTTTCTGCAAAACAAGCGGTACCTGACTGGGGTGGCTCATCTCATCTCATTTTCTTTTTCTCTTCTTTGGCTTCCAGTGCCAGACCAGTTCCCATCTGGCTGGCTCCAAGAGCTCAAGGCACGCCTCTTTTCTGTCTTGTATCCAATCAGCAGCCGCTGCACTTTCATTGACGGTGTCCCCGGCCGCATCCTTTTTTCCTTTTCTCCCAATTGCGTCCATCCTCCGCCGTCTTTAATTCTGCTTCTGCTTCTGTTGTCTGTTAACTCATTCTCTCTCCTTTCTAAAACCACAGTCCCCCTCTGTGATTACTACTCTGTGCCCCTTCCGGCTTCCAGTCCGTTTATTTAGGGTTTCCTCTACTGTATTTACTCTACCGGGGCTGTTCGATCCATTCTCATCTTCATTCTCACCCGCTTATCCTGTCCTGTCACATCCATCCCAATTCATCCGCATATCCGCCAGCCGCTTTTGCCTCTCCAGCTTCTTTGCCTTTTGCCCTCAAGCATCGACGTATCATCACGAGTAGAGAGGAGAGAGAACATTTCACCGCCGTACCAGGTCATCACAATCCAAGTTTGTTACTATCCGGCTCAGACGATATTACAAGGCCAAATCAGAAGGTTAGTTACCACATCGCAGTTCTCCACGCGATTGCGCCTGTTCATTTCTTTCTGTTCTTCACTTGATCACCACCTCAATCCCAGAACAGTATGAGGTACCACCCGACGATACACCCCCTGTTCTCCACCCCCCCGGGCCACCTAAAAAGCTCCAACCTCTAGGTCTAGGGACCCCCTCACCCCCTGGCCCAGGGGAGGAGGCGCGAGAGATTCCGCCCTGGGCTGGGCCTTTTTGGCCTTTGCTGGCACGACTCGTGTGTCGTGCCCCAAATTGCAGCCTCTCTTCTCCCCCAGTCGTAGTGCACCTTAGTCCCAGTCAGTCCCGGTCCCGGTCCCCAGCTACTGCGCTACGCCAAAAGCTGCTTCTGCATCTCCTTTTCTCTTCCTTCACTCCACCTTTTTACCTTACCTCAACCTTACATCGCCTTCGCCTTCGCTTTCGTCTGCTTTTTCCATCTCATCTCTTTTCTCTTCTCTATACCTTGACAAGTCGGGATCCTTCTACCCTCGACCAGATTGTCTTTCGTCAGAGCCACGACTTGGAGCGTTGTTAATCACTAACGTCGACGGCTCTAGATTATACCCATTCACCCACCTATTTCGCGACCACGACGGCACACGTAAACACCGCGTCGTCGACGTTGTTTAATCTGTCCCAGCATTTCCTATTAACCTTGCGAAGAAGAAAGAAGTAAACAGCACTACCGTCACAATGGGTTGCGGAATGAGCACAGAGGAGAAGGAGGGTAAGGCCCGGAATGAGGAGATTGAGAACCAGCTCAAGCGCGACAAGATGATGCAGCGAAACGAGATCAAGATGCTCCTGCTCGGTACGTTTGCCAATTGCTTCGGTCCCGCGCGCTTCTCAACGCAATGAGTCGCGAAGGATGCCGATCGGGCCGCTTTCTAACACGCTCACAGGTGCTGGTGAATCTGGAAAGTCAACCATCCTCAAGCAGATGAAGCTCATTCACGAGGGTGGCTACTCGCGCGACGAGCGGGAATCCTTCAAGGAAATCATCTTCAGCAACACCGTTCAGTCAATGCGTGTCATCCTCGAGGCTATGGAGTCTCTCGAGCTTCCACTTGAGGACCAGCGCATGGAGTACCACGTTCAGACCATCTTCATGCAACCCGCTCAGATCGAAGGCGACGTCCTCCCACCTGAGGTTGGCAGCGCCATCGAGGCTTTGTGGAAGGATCGTGGTGTGCAAGAATGTTTTAAGCGATCTCGCGAGTACCAGCTTAACGACTCAGCCCGATAGTATGTGTATCTGAGGGAAACAACTATTTTCGTTTACTAACCTTGAACAGCTACTTCGACAACATTGCTCGCATCGCTGCTCCTGATTACATGCCTAACGACCAGGATGTCCTCCGATCTCGTGTCAAGACCACCGGTATTACTGAGACCACATTCATCATCGGCGACCTCACATACAGAATGTTCGACGTCGGTGGTCAAAGATCCGAGCGAAAGAAGTGGATTCACTGCTTCGAGAACGTCACCACCATTCTTTTCCTGGTCGCCATCTCCGAGTACGATCAGCTCCTATTTGAGGATGAGACTGTCAACCGAATGCAGGAGGCTCTCACTCTGTTCGATTCCATCTGCAACTCAAGGTGGTTCATCAAGACATCGATCATTCTATTCCTCAACAAGATCGATCGTTTCAAGGAGAAGCTGCCTGTCAGCCCCATGAAGAACTACTTCCCTGACTACGAGGGCGGTGACGACTATGCTGCGGCTTGCGATTACATCCTCAACCGTTTCGTCAGTCTGAACCAACACGAGACTAAGCAGATCTATACCCATTTCACCTGCGCAACCGATACCACTCAGATCCGCTTCGTCATGGCGGCTGTCAATGGTAAGCCAATCCGACTCGAGTGTTACCCAAATACCAGTATTCTAACAAGCTACAGATATCATTATCCAAGAGAACTTGCGTCTCTGCGGTCTTATCTAAATGATTTTTTTTCTTGCTGTCACAAAACACGAATACCCTCGAACTTAATAACGACACTGCTTAGATGGGCCACGGGGATATGGCTCACGATTTTTTCTTGTACTCGTCACACCGGAGGAGCGAAGGCGCTAGTTAACAACTACGTGACTCCTTGGGTCGACGACGGCTACTGACGGTCCGGCTCACCCATTACGCCAGATATACCACTAGCTTTGGCTGTGCCCAGGTCGACCTTGGTTCCGTTTCTTTGTAAGGATTTTCCGGTTGATGGATGGGAGTTGCCTTGTATCACAAAAACGTCTTTTTAAAGGGAGAAGGATTTTAAGAACGGTGGACCACAGATGATGAAGCCGCCCATGACGTCGGGAAGATATGATTTGCCCGTTCAAGAGCGTGACGGACGAGGCTGGAAGAAGGGTTCATTATTTGCATCTAAACAGTGCGGGCGATGGAGGATGGTGGTCATCTACTTTGTTTAATTACGAAACTCTTTCCTACCACTAACCACTACCGCCCATGCCTTGTTACCCTCCACACGTTAGCATTGTATTGTTTACTCACTCGTCACTCGGATGCGGTATTTTCTCGTTTAATTTCAACTATCAAGTATATTGTAAAATAATGATTTGGCGCATCTTCCGTCTGAAACAAGCACACCCCCTGTCGTCAAATTCCGCACTTTGTCTGTGTTGTTTGCTCTTTTCGCTTGGATTTTGACTCACTTTTCTTTTGGCGTATGTCTTCAAGTCAAACCCAGTGCCCGTTTTTGCCCTGAGCAGAGGATATTGACGCGCGCTACCCACGCACGTTTCTCAACGGGGACACATCCGTGCCCATCGCCCTACAGAACTATGGAGGTTTTGTCTCTGGATATGAGACAGGCGTGAGAGCAGTTGGATGTCTGCTTGTGATGGTGTCCTCAAGACTGAGATAAACAAGGTCATGTGACTTGACTCGACCTCGTTCTCTTTCCTGAGAGGCAGAATATACACGAGAGATGTCAAGGAAGGGAATGTTTCACGAAAACTACACAAGTGGCGGCGATCTAGCTTCCACCGCTCATACCAGAAATGCATACGCAGCAAATAGCCACGTCCTATTGCGACTTACGTGTTTCATGATCTTGTCTGTTTCGGTTGTCTCAAGTTTGTCAGGAAAACTATGCTCTACTACTCCTAATAGATTATATCCGACAATCTCGGCATAAAAGTATCCCAGAGCCTTTGATTCATTCTTGCTCGAGATCGATAATGGTACAGATAGTAGTCGATCTCCGTCTAGAGCCAACCAAGACTGCCTCGCCACCAAGACTACTTGAAAGCTGCCATATACACGCTAGCCTTGCTAGCCAATCTCTGCCCTTCCTATCGGTTTGTCCTGAATACATGATCATACAAGTTGGTAAAGAAAATAGTTCGGCTGAACTGCACGGATATCGAAGAGTGGCGACATGTGTCTTGAATCGAGCCAGCCGCGCGGTACAGAAAAAAGAAAGATTCGAAAAAAGAAATGGCGGGTGGTTATTACTCGATATGGCGTACACGCTCATAACTACGAGCATGTTGGTTTGGTGCGCAGTTTTCTCATCCAGTGGTGACACAATGCGTATTCCAATAGTAGTCTCAAGACAGAGCGTAGCCCGAAACAAGCGGCAAACTCACTTGAGATCACACAATAAGCAAGGGGTTCCAAATTCTGGTTCAGGGGAGATCAAGGGGCACTGCGACTTGGTTAGTAGGATCCAGTGAACCGTGTGAGTGGACTCACATCACTCGACAACTCTATAGGTTTGTTGCCTGGTCTTTTTATTCTTTTGTCTACTGCGTGTTGGACGCATTGCTGAGGGCCGTCATAGCATTGAGCCTTGCTCAATGGAAGCGTTGTGTGTCGGCGGTCTCACTGAGCATAGAACCACTCAGTTCTCATTTGGCGGAGTGTTTAAGAGAGTCAATGCCATAGGATGCGCTTCGACATTTCCCTGAGAAAATCCTCCCGGTGACAAGGTTTCCTGAGCAGACTGCTCCTCAGAAGAAGGCTCATAGGAAGAAGGTTCATAGGAAGAAGTATTTTGGGAAGCGTGCTCCTGGTGGGCATCGTTCTGTGAAGAAGGCTCTTGGGAGAGTGGCTCCTGGGGTTGTTCGTCCGCAGAAGAGATTTGCTGGGGACCAGCCATGCCAGAAAGCTGATCCATGAAAGCATTTCCCTCGGAGGTGGCAAGGAAGTCATGCAGCTCCGCAAGGCGAATACCAAGCTCCTCCGCAGCCCTTTCTACATGTGCAAACTTTCGTTCTCCTTGGCTCATAGCAGCGACATTTGAGACAACATTGCCGACCATGTTGTTGGCGGGACCTGGCAAATTCTATTTGCCGGAACCGAGTCCCAATGACTGGATCATGCTCATAGCGAACTGGTTGCGCATTTGAGGTTCCACGTAGACAGACGCGGCAGCTTCTCGGTTCATGGGGAGGATGCCTTGGGGAAGCGCCAGGGGATTGAGCTGGGCGTATTGGAAAGGCTGTGTTGGCATTCCCGCGGATTGGGGGTGATACAATGGTGCCGGGGCATAGATGGAGTTTTGGTTGTTCTCTGTGAGATGTGAGCGTTGGTTCATGATATTGGTGTGGCATGGGAGCCAGCTTACCGTGAAAAGTGCATCGAGAACCACTGGCATTGAACCAGCAGTTTGTGCAGCTACCACACATCTGGCCATCATAGATGATACACTCAGACCAAGGACCGTGTCCTTTGGAGCAATTCTTGCAAGACCGGCTGACCTGGACTCCAGTGAGATGAGCCAAGAAGGCTTCGACATTGCTGCGGCGCTCCATGTTGAGAACCATGTCAGAGCGACGCTGCCGGATGGGTCGTAGGGATGTTTCGCCGGCTAGCTTTTTACCGAGGGTGCTATCAATCACTATTCTGCTGCCATAGATTTCTAGAGCGACGTCACCAGCTGTCAGCTGGGGTGTGTCTGATCCAGCTGTGTTATTGGAAGGACCTGAGGACGTAACAACGGTGCCATGGACCTGAGGATTATGGTGAGCAAGAGTCAGGGTTCCCTCGACCTGCCCAGCTGAGTGGCGGCTGCTAGTGGTATTGAGTAAGTGTCTGGACGCAAGTGTGGGAAGCTCAACATACTCGTTAGAGTTATAGCTGCTGAAGCCGCTGAATGGGGGTTGCTGGGATGAATCACTCGAGTTCTTGATAGTTTCCTGAGAAGAACCAGGCTCATGAGGAGCAGATAGAACTTTCTTCTGACTCGACCCAGCTTGCTTCGTTCCCTTGATCTCCTTCTTTGCAGCAATGCGGTTTGAAGAACGTGTTCCAGCATTGGAGAGGGGTGTGTGTCGGCGCGTAGTGCGCGCAGCCTTCATTTTACCCATTCTGAAGGCGAAGGGCGAGATGTAGATCTCGAGAGTTGCCAAAGGACCACAAGGTAGACTTCTACAGAGTCCTTGAGACCGACAACTGATGTATGGTAAAGGAAGAATATACACCTAGGCAATGATAACAGGCAACTTGATATGAGTGCGAATATATTCTTGACAAGCTTAAAAGGAATGGGTGACAAAAAGAAGAGAGAGAGGAAGAAAAGAGAGAAGCAGACCGTGGCCAAAAGTAGCAGTGAGCTGTTGGCATAGTGACCCCACTGTTTATCGAGTTTTCCACGCGCCGTGCATATCGCGCTGCAGCACAGTACGCGAGCGGGCGAGGTCACTGACCTACTATAGGTACCTAGTAGGTAGGCATGCAGATTCATTTCCCTCACGTAAATTTAATCATTGACGCGTACAGTTACCTCATTGGCTCTGCCCGTTGATGATTCACCTTCATTCACTTGCAAGAACGGCACAAGCTTTGGTCAACATGCGGCTCTAGATACCTAGGTATGCAGGAGTGTCTCTGCTCAAGTTCACCAAGTTGAGGTGTTCAACCCCTATGAAATCGGTGAACTCAACTCATTGAACTGGTGAACACCCAAAATATCATACAATAACTCTCTTTCCTAAATCTCTGCCCCTTCACCATAATTGATTAGGCATATCGATGCTCTAAACTCAGTTATATTCAATGCTGCCCAATGGCGGCTGGCTTATTCAACGGACGGACGAGTAGATGACCATTTCACTCTTATCTAGTTCTGAGACTCTATTGCCTAGCACCAGCTGCCTGTTCCCAAATTCCATCTCCCCGTCCTTCGGTAATCTCCTTCCACTGCATCGCAAACTCCATCAACCCTCCCTGGCCACCCATGCTTGCATCCACTACCTCTTTTGGTAGCTTGTGCGCTGAGTATTGTGGGCTACTAAAGTTGTATGCAGCTGGGTCATCCTTTTCTATTATCCTGAATTCGGGACTCATTTCAGGGCGATACTCAATATCGTCATCCTCCTCCTCCTCACCTTCTGTGACTGTGTCTTCACCGCTGACATCCGCACCAGCCTCATTACTTGAGGTTCCATAGAGGGGGTTCTTAACATCCATCTCAAGCAGCTCTTGCCAGCCAAAAAGGAGACTGTCTGTTCGAGGAGCCCATGGGTTAATATCCATTAACCTGACTCTTCCAAGTCCATCTTTCTCAAAGGAGTTCTCTGGAATATATACATCAAAAACGAAGCTGGCGTCAGGAAATGTGAACCTCAGTTTCTCTCGGAAGAATGTCTTGATCTTACGCCACAGCTGAGGTCGAATCTGCTCCAAGAAATCATAATGATTGAGATCTCGCTGTGTGATACCAATGAGACTTCTGTGCTTGACGAAGCATCGAAATTCGAGGGCCACATGGGGAGTGAAGAATGGTCTCAGAACAAGAACGGGCGCATATGGCTTGGTCGGAGGTCTTGGAGTGCAGTCGTCGAAGGCGTGATCGAGATCGTGAGAAACAAAAGAAGATGACTTGAGGAGTAGGTAGATGTCGTTTGGAGTCGTGCACTTGAGTGTGTTTTGATGAGGCGAAATCCACTTGGCATCCTTTGGTGAAGACCAGTTCAACTTGGGCGCAACTGAGCCACCTAATTCTGCAATCTTCTCTTTAATGAGAGTGTGTGTCTCCGGGAACCTCTGGTTAGGAGGGAGCCTTTCAGGTTCGTCTTCCTCATCATCTGACGAATCAGGATCCCTAACTTGGGGCTTTGCAGATGTATTGGATGATGCATGCCATTCTTCTTCAGGCTCGTCTTGATTCTCATCATCATCTGCAAGAACTATACCGTCTTCATGGAGATACTCGACGAATGAAGGTGGCAGTGGTATTATGCGAGATTTGAGACACGAGCTTCGGTATTTAGGAAACCAGGAGTCGTAGGAGCAATTTTGGATGTGATCTTTAGTGACTGGCGGGAAAACGAGCTCAGGCGCATCGTCTTGGCTGTCAGCTGAAGCTGAAGCGGGAACGTGAGGCATCTTGGGTATGATCGAAGGTCTTGGATCAAATGCTTGTAGTATGAGAAGTCCTCGGTATCCAATTGTCGTGTCACTTTTCTGAAAAGAACAAAAAAGTGGCGGGTTATGCTGTCAATGTTCGAATGTTGACTCACTTACAAATTATCCAAATATTCCATGCCCCTCCATCATGGAGGGGCGATAGTTGCTTATCTTATCTTCCGAGAGAGGTAGGCGGTAAAAATTTAGCTGGGTGACAGCGGCAGAGAAGGGTCCCTACATCACCAATAACTATCCACCTTGCCTATTGCTGTCGCATTCATCACAGATCTCGATTGTCCATAACATTATCTGCGCGCCGACTTACACCAACAGTCCTTTCAACAATTCAAATTACGACACTTTGTCTACTGTAATGTCTGACAACGTTGGTCTCAACACCCCCCGAGGTAGTGGCACCTCGGGCTACGTTCAACGCAACCTTGCTCAGATCAAGCCTCGCGACTACGGCGCTCCTTATCCCAAAGACCTCGATAGCTTGCGACACAAGCAACGGCAGCCAGACAAGGGGATCCTGGAGCATGACCGCAAGCGCGAAGTCGAAGTTAAGGTCTTTGACTTAAGGGACAAGCTTGAAGAAGAAGAGTACAACTTTGAATACATCCAATTGCAAAGCTGGCTGTACTAACATGATCAAGGGTTGACGAAGACGAGATCGATAGGCGATGCGACGAGCTCCGACAAAAACTCCTCACCGAGATGAATTCTGGGAGGAGGGGAGGCCAAAGAAAGACATTTAAGCAACACCAGGTCCACGAGATGGCCGATGCCAAGATCAAGGAGAGCGAACGACTACGGAAAGCATTGAAGATCAGTGCAGACTATGAAGAGGGAGGTCATTGGAAGCGCCAAGAAGAGAGGCTGCGCAATGCTTTGGAGAAGGAAGAGGAGAAGGATGAAGGTGACGATAGGAAAAGTGAGCCAAGAGATTAGGTTGACCACCCAACTCAAGACACATCGGCCACTATATTATCGGACCTTGCGTTTTAAGGGGGAACTCAGAGCTTTCGGTATTTGGACAGTTGTCAAGCATCGGGCGGTCTCATGCTTCGCCAGTGAACTGCCATTGTTATTAAAGCCCTCTGTCCAACGAAAACGCGGACGGGACGGATAAATATGGCATTGGTTTTTGGATGGTTTTACTGTCATGTTTCTGTTCATTTTCGAGCGGCGTATGGCGTTTGGGCATTGGGACTGATCAACCCAATATGCGATGTATACCTAGGGTAGGATAGGATATTCTCCCACACCGGACACGAGGTTTTGTTCTTTCAAATAACGACTCATAAATTATCGCTAGTATGTTCCGTATTCCATTGTGTAGCTACTGCAGTGGTTCTGGGTGTCTTATTATGGTCATCTTACCTTGTCTCGGCCTCCTCCCTATGAATGATAATGGAAACACGAAAACCAGCTGCTTGATCTACTCCATCAGCTAGGTGCCTTCTGGTGCGGTCCTTGATCTGACACTGGCCAAATGAGGTTCAACGTCCTTAAACCTAATAGCTCACTAAACGTTTATGAAGCGATTTATATTCTTGTATAGGATTTATATATTGACTCTATTCAGCAAGAGTCCAGTTGGTCGTCAGGTATGGCCTTGTAGGCTGCGACGGGGCTTGGCACATGCTCATGCTACAAAGACCCGCTATAGCTTGAGCTTCCGAACCTCACACGTCACTTAAATCACCAACGACAGTACCAGAGACGGGGAAGATTCAAGAGATCGACAACCAAACAAAAAGTCGACCATGGCGCGACTCTCACATTCCACCGTACATCCAATTAATAGAAGTGCAATCGATATTGCATCAGCAGAGCTGGGAACCCTGCTGCTGCGACTACAAAAGACCGTTCTTCATACAGATAGCGACCGCGAACGACGACTACGATCGAGCGAATTCGAAAGAGCACGGGTAGCATCTGTAAGAGCGCCTGTGCCGGATTCCACATCCGTATACACTGACTCTGAGCTGTAGAATCTCGAATATGCACGAAACTCTTTGACGAAACTAGAACACGATGCGCTTGGGATTAAAGCGCCAGGTCGGAGGGCTGAAGTACAAAGTGATTTGAACAGGAAGAGAGAGCTTCTAGAACTGCTACTGGATCGGCTAGAAGACTTGAGACAAGTAAGAAATGGTTTATGGGACAAGGCAAAGGATCGAAGCTGACATCACGACAGGTGGCAATTGAGGAGGACGAAGATGATGAGAGTACCGACGGAGAAGATATCCTCTCAGAAATAATACCTACGCCGAGCGATAGCATGGTCGATTCCATATCAACAGGCCAACCCACGGAAAGCTCAGGGCAAGATGATGATGCCGAGTCAGAGCCCCCCGAGGCAACAACGATACCAGTGACAACAGCCACAGTACCAGCGCCAGCATCGACAACACCCCCTGACACGTCTACGACATCGCAAGAGCACAAACAACAACCCACGCAAACAACGCAGAACCTAAGATCAAGAGGTGCACCTTCATCTCCATCACCGCCTGCCCATTCAACGGCACGCGCGGCGCTTTTCGCCAATCGAAGCAAACCCTCCACTCCCCAAACATCAACAGCAACGGCTGAAGCTTTACTTGACCATCAACGAGCCGAACAGGAAGCCCTTTCAGAATCGATTCTTCAAATGGCGAGTGCTCTAAAGTCAAGCTCACAACGATTCTCAACAACTCTCGAGGCAGACAAGGACGTAGTGGCGCGTGCAGGCGAGGGAATGGATAAGACGGAACGGAGCATGGAGGCGGCGAAGGGGCGAATGGGTATGCTCAAGAGGATGACAGAAGGAAAGGGATACTTTGGGAGACTACTCCTGTATGCATATATTGCTTTGCTTGCTGTGGCATGCATACTCGTGGTCTTTGTTTTGCCAAAGTTGAGGTTCTGAAGACCGGAAACAACAGGAGACCGGCAATATTACATCGGTTTATGTACAAGTGAATCAACTATAAGCCATTATGAGCATTGCTATCTAATAAGCTATCGTTATATATACGCCAAGCATACTGAGCGATTGTCACCAAGTCCCCCAAGATATGCACGTCCCAATCATCTTCTGCTGCTCCAACCAACAGTAGCCCATTACTTAAGCTCCCTAGCAATTGGGGTTGAGATTCATAATTGATAACCCGAGACCCGGCGCACTCGTTTTTGTCATGCCCAGCAAGATAGCAAGCCTGCAATACCCATAACCATCAGATGAACTCCCAACTAAAGAGACTCTCGTGTCTCGAATTCAAAGGAGATTCCCATCTCGCCCACATCACCAGGAACCACGGCGGCACCCTCATTATCTGCATGTGATAGGTCTTTCTCAGCAATAGAAGAGGCTGGAGTAGCAAGAGCACTATTGGTCTCTGCATCATCCATAAAGACACCAGTCGATTTGTCTGCTTCCTGAGCCTTCTCAGACTCAGGAGGTGATTCGGCCTTCCTTTCACCGTTAATGGTCTCAAAATTAGTGATGGCTGCCTTTTCATCCTGAGAATGCTCAAACTCAGAAGGTGGAATCTCTTCCCTGCAGTCCCGAGAGGCTCCCAAGCTGGAGTAGGATTCGTTTTCATCTTTGAGCTTCTCACGATCAGGAGGTGAAGCCATTTCAATGTCGTCCCCAAGCTCCTTTAGGTCGATGCCAGATTCTTCCGCCACAGCGCGAGGAGAATCCGGGGGTGAAACCATCACTTCATCATCATCTTCTTCAAGGGCTCTTGGGCCATCATCAGACTCATCCTCAGCCGAATCAGTCTTACGCTCCTCTTCTTCGGGGGGAGGCAGCGGTAACCCCCGAATCGTAGCATTGATATTTCGACAAAACTCGATGTCGTGCTTTAGTCGTCTCCCTATGGGTTTACCCCTGGACTAAATATCATTAGCAAACTATCTTCATGAAGAGCAATTGACTTGAGACATACCGGAGGCTCGTACTGAAAATACGAACTGGGCATTGTTTGGGCTAGTGACACCCGATCTTCCCAAGCGATCCCAGTCTTCTTTTTAAAGAAGTCCATAAACAGCTCCATCTCCACCCTCCATTTTCCCTCGTGAGGACTAGGGCGATGATACATGGGCTGAGAGCTCCCCTTTTGTTTGAGGAATTTGGCCGTGAACCAGTACAAGTGAGGTTTGGCGTTGGACTCCCATAACTGTTTATTGTTAGTAACAAGACATGCGAGAGGCAAACCTTACTTACGCAAAGAGTATACTTCTGTCCGAACTCGCCTGTGAACTCATTATCTCGAGTAAGGTCGACCTCGTAGACAAAGTTGAGACGATCTCGATAGAGGTGGAAGCGGTCTAGAAGAGCTTTAGTTTTCATAAATCAGTAGAACTGCGAAGAGCATACTTGTGTTAACAAATTTCTCCGCGTTCCTTATACCCTTCTCGATCCGAGCCTTTTCTCTCTTCTTTGCGTTTTCCTTTGCGATGAGACTTCTCATGGAATAGTCCGCTTCAGGCAATTTCTTGTTCTTGACCGTCGAATACTCGAACCAGTCACAATGAACAATGTGAATGCCCTTTCCAAGTTTCAATGCCTTTTTGACTAACAAGTTATAAGTAGTTGCCATATAAAGAGAACAAGAAACAAAGATTAGTACCTTTGGGAAGTTTCTTGTCGAACTGGTCCTTGGTGCAGAGGAGATGAGTGACAGTCTCATCAAAGTCGTCGATAAAGACGCCTTTGCGAAGTGAGATCCATCGCTTCAGGTTTTCCACTGTCAACTGACCAGGGAGAGGCCCTGCAGCTGAAATTATACGGTTCTTGAAAATCTGAGCAACCATGTCTGCTGATAAACTGTCGAAAAGCTGAAGGACGAGGACCGATCAATGGTGTACGTTGGTCAAAGATGCAGAAGTCCAATGAGGAAAAGAATAGAAATTGAAGTAGAAAGAGAGAATAAGTATTGGTAGGCGAAAGTGAAGATATCCTGTGGAACAGGATGAAGAGGCTGTTGCTGGGCAGGACCAAAAGTGAAAGATGATATGAGAAGAGAGAAAAGTACTTATCAACCAGCCTTGAGATCATCTACTATGCTGAAGACCGAGGGCCTCGTTGTAAGATAGAACAAGGAGTGAGATTATAGGAAGAGGTTTAAAAAAGAAGAGAAGTCAATGTAAAAGCTCAAGATCAGGGCTTGTTGTGATGAGAGATGAATATGCGAGACTATGAGTCTAAATGCATGCTCGATAGTGCCTTGTGCCATCAGAGAGAGAGTGTATAGAATGGGATGATAATGTCTGTGCCTTGGAGAAGGGTCCTCAAGAAAAGATTATTATAAGGACCACCTCGAAAAGGGGACACTCTAAAATGGTTCACAGCCCCACGGCTTCAATCAAACTTTAGTGCTCATCAGCGTTTTCTGCAATTGTATACCCTGTGTTTTTTTGTATCTTTTATCGGATTTCCTTGGCAGCCTTTATGAAAGCTGCGATCTTGTCTAAGCTTTGTTTTCCATCCTCCTCCACACCACTGCTCACATCAACGCCAATCACTCGATCAGCGAGGGGACCCAAAGCCTTGACAGACTCAGCCACGTTGTCAGGGTTGAGGCCACCAGCAAGGAAGACTCGAAGCTCAGGATCACTCTCCAAAACAGCCTGTACATTGGTGACATTGAGAAGCTTGCCGGATCCAGAGCCAGAGTCAAGAAGAGGAACAGTATGATATCCCCGACGCGCAATTCCGACTTGGCCAGGCTTGAAGCATCGGACGACGGGCACAGGGATGAGGCTTGCCCACTCGATAGGCTCGTCACCATGAAGCTGGACTAGGTCAAGGTCGTATTGCTTCTGCTTCTCCAAAACCTCGCTCAGAGGCTGGTTCTGGAAGATACCAACGAGCTGAGGTCGAGGACTACGAAGTCTTTGGGCAGCAGCTTCGAAGTAGTCCTTGGCTTTGTTGTCTACTACTGCCACTTGGGTGTCGTATTTTCGAGTGCTAGGATATGTGTGCACTGCTTCTGAGATTGCAAGGGCAGTCTCATGTGAGATACATCGTTTGGCACCAGGAACAAGGCAGATGCCAACAAAGTCTGCCCCTGACTCGGCAGCCTTCCGGGCAGCCTCGGGACTCCGAGTACCGCAAATCTTGACGTACAATGATGACGCGACATCAGATTTAGCAGGGGGCTCGGTCCCAGAGCATAGCTGGCTGATGAAAACACTGGCGTCAGGGGCTCTCATGATGGCCTCACCAACCAGAACAGCATTGACACCATCCCTCTTGTTCATCAAAACGTCATCATGGGTATTGATACCGCTGAGCGCGCAAATGATTGTGCTTTCAGGCACCATGCTGCGTAGCCGGCCTGTAGTGTTGAGATCAACTTCAAAGCTCTCAAGATTACGGTTGTTGACACCGATGACCTTGGAGCCCAGCTTAACGGCAATCGTCATCTCCTCAGCATTCTGAACCTCAACAAGAGGCTCCATACCCAACTGGAGAGAATAATTATATAGTCTTTGTAGAAGCTCAGAATCAAGCATCTTGACAATGAGCAGAACAGTATCCGCACCAGCCAATCGTGCCTCAAGGATCTGATACTCGTCAAAGATGAACTCCTTACGAAGGATTGCGGGTCTGTTGGGCATGCCATCCAAGACTTGTCGAACGGCTCTCAAGTCCTCAATACTGCCCTTGAACCACTCAGGCTCAGTAAGCACGGAAATGACACTTGCGCCTGCCAGAGCGTACTTTCGAGCTTGTGCAGGGGCGGAAATATCCAGCGCAAAGATGCCCTTAGAAGGAGAACCGCGCTTGATCTCAGCCATCAAAGCAACGTCAAAAGGAGACTGTCGTAGTCGGTTGACAAAAGGAATCTGGGGAGGCGCAGCGTTGAGATCGTACGCAACTTGTAGATCCTCAAATCTTTGGGAAGGAATTTGCTTCTGAGCATCCACAGCAGCCTTTCGGTTGGCGTAAATTCGCTGCAGAATGTTGTTCTTCTTGGGCTTGGGTGCAGCCGAGTTGTCGCTGTTGGCAGAACCAGACTTCTGGAACTCAGTGTTCTCCTCCCAAGTACCTCCTTGCATGCGGAGGAAGTTTGTGATCATAGCTCGTCCACCTTCAGTTAGGATACTCTCAGGGTGGAATTGGACACCTTCGATGGTGTACCTCTTGTGACGAACACCTTGAATGACACCAGGGGAACCATCAGGCTTAGCGACCCAAGAGGAAACCTCCAGGTCCTCAGGCAAAGTGACGTGGGTACCCGCCAGAGAATGGTAGCGAGTAACTGGAACACCCTGCTTGAGACCAGAGAACACACCCTTGGAATCATGGGTCAATGGTGAAGTTTTGCCATGGAGCCATTCACCAGCTGAACTGACTTCTCCGCCATAGACATTAAAGATGCACTGGCTTGGAGGAGGTTAGAGGAATTGGTATAGAAGGGAAAGACCAACACTTACAGGCCCATACAGACACCAAAGATAGGAACCTTGCCAGCAAAATATCTAATGACATCGCGGCTCACACCAGAATCAGTCTCGGGGTGACCGGGACCGGGGCTGATGATGATCTGGGTGGGTTTCTTGGCAATGATTTCATCCACAGTGACCTTGTCATTTCGATAGACAGTAACCGTAGCTCCAGCAAGAACGAGATACTGGTAAATGTTCCAGGTGAAAGAGTCGTAGTTGTCAATAAGAATAAGGTTAGAGGCCGTTGGAATTGGAGGCGAGGGATCAGCCTGGTGAGGCGAGTGATCGATGATATCTGAGGAACCCATTTTCTCTCTCTCTTTTTTTTCCTCGAAAACAACAATAACGAGAAGGGAGAGTGTTTTGAAACCGTGCCTTCGTAAAAATGAGTTATTTTACGAGACTGAGAGCGGTGACGTTGCAAAAGGTGAGTCACTTTGAGTTTGAATAGAGTTGAACAAAGAAGCTGTGAATGCGACTTTCGGCCAGTGCAGTACTGACTAGCGCACTGTTGTCTCTGGCAGAGACACAATGGCTCGTACAGTGTTAACTCTATATGGCGAATGGAGGCACAAGGTCCGATATAACTGCCGTCCACTGAAGCACCGGGTAAACTTGGGCTAAATTGGAGCTCTCTAGCTCCAGGTCAGGTCCAAAAAGTTGACCAGCCAAAGCTCGATCCATCCATTCGCGACCAGGCGCGTCAACAAGCATCAAAATCAAACTTTCTTCGCATCCACCCTAACTAATCGCAAGGTGATGCGTCGCATGCCACTGCCGCCCTTTTGACGCTCTTTGCAATGGCGCCGGTGGCCGATCGCATTTACTTCCCCTCCCTAGAACAATGCCTGACTGGGGAGCGGGTACTGCTGTAAGTTGACTGAATGCCTCTGCAGCTCTCTCTCGTCTCTTGGGCTGCCTATCCATTCATCTATGTACACAAACTCACCGCTAACTCAACACTCAGCTCTTGGAAGCTCGTCGCAACTGCGCTGTCTGATACTTCTGGCCAGAGAACTACGAGTTCTGCCGTTATCGAATTTCTGAGCGACGACTATGTTCACCGTCTTCTCGAGGACCCTGCCAGCACCTTCGCACCCGCAGATGAGGCGACAAAAAAAGTCTTTGAAACAAAAACGGCCCCGATTAATGTTCCCGCAAGCTCAGATGGACGACCTGACATCGAGTCGATCAAGAAAGATGCCGAATGGCTCAGCAAGAATGCCAAAATCAACCTAGTCGCAGCTTTGCGTGTAGTCGTGATAGAACACCAGTCCCGTCCTGCGCGCCATCTCAGTGGCCCATTATCGTCTCAAGATGCGAAGAATCTGCAGGAAGCCGCCGGCCTCAACAATGGTCAAGGGTCAGGACTTCTTTTGGACCTAGGATCGGCGGCTGCGCTGGATGCTGAGGAGATCTGGACTGAATTCGAGAAGCCCGAAACGAGACAGCGACGCCTATTCGATACATATCTTGCCGAGCGCCGTTTTTTTATGATGTCTGCGGACTATGCCAACTCGATCAAGCTATACGAGAGGCTGCCGACCTTCGCCAGTGTTGATCTCGACCTAGCCAAGACCTACCGACTGAAGCTTCCTTCACGAGACGACGCCGAACCCCTACTCCCGACTTACCTTCAAGTTCTCACAGACTCTATGTCTCGCATCGAATCAGGTCTAAAAGCTGTAACGGACGGGAAGTGGGTGACGGAGGAAGTCGAACTAGATTGGCTGCGAACCCTTCTAACCGAAGCTATCCATGCTTTGTCTGTTGTCTTCCAGATTGTTGACAGTTTTGGCGATGATTTTGCACCTTCAAGTGCCGTCAACCAGTGGTTTTCTTTGATGGAAGTCTACAGATTCTTTGACGCAGTTCAGCCGGTATGTATTGCACAACATGTTGATGTGCAGACTTGTGCTAATAGTGCCCCCAGATTCACGAGAGCATTGCCCCGCTAGTTTTGCCCCTGAAGACTCTTTCAGCCGCCGTGTCCCTGATACTACTCAAGCCAGCTCGCTCATTGACCTATCTTTCCGAGAGAGAAGAGGATGCTACTCAAGCAGATACTTCTTACGACACATACCTGCTCTCATCTGACGTCCTTGAACAGGTCCACAAGAGCATACTAAACGCTGCCGAAGCCGATTGCGAAAGCGCTTCACCCGTCATTTTCGCCTGGACGCTTCTTCTTCATCGCATGAATGTTTCCTATCAAAGTCGAACAGAGAAGCGTGATAATTTGCTGCAGCAAAATGCCCGAGAAACCTTCGAGGCAGGGGGTGTGATTCGACCAGTCGCAAGACGAAACTCGGCGGGCAGCATCTTCTCCATCGAATCTTCGAAATTTGACGGCTTCCTCGAGAATGCGACTTCATCCAAGGACCTTGTCGTGGTGGAACAGCTTGCATCACAAGTCACGGCTCAAGGCCGTGTCTTTGATGTCGTTTCTAATATGGCAACATCATTAGGTCCCTCTGATGAGGGTAGTATGACCCCCTTACTCAGTGCTCGTCTTCGCAATGTCTTCCTTGAGCTTCTTAAGGTTTCATACCCCATTGTTGGTTATCAGTCCGAACCAGTAAGCTCCCTTCTTTCGATTCTAAGCGCCGGCCGAAATTACTGGGACATTTCAAACAAGGAGAACCTCTCGGAGAAGCAAGATATTCTCGCATCCATGATCAATGACCATCTTGCACTAGAGTTCTTCTTTCAGCAAGCTCTTGACAGATATCCATATGAATTTCTGCCGTTCATCACTCTCTGCCGAACTCTTGCTAGTGCTACTAGCCTCCGTGAGAGCGATCGCTCTCAGATGATCCTTAACCTTTTACGTGCAACACCCACACTCACATTCGTCCTTCCCGATTACTTCCAAGAGTACGAGCTCGCACAAGAAGACGAGGTCACCAATACTTTCTGTTTGCTGCAAGATATTCCCATCATCTCGTTATCCCCTTCGTGGCGAGGAAGACGTGTCGAGGACGATGCGTACCGGATACCAGCAGGCACATATGGAAGATTTGTTACGGATACAGGTAGAGTGGTCTCAATGGAGTATCCTCACTCAACTATCTCGCTCTTGGGTCGACGACTGGAAATCAATCTGATGAAGGAAGGCTATCAATCTGAGCTCGGAATGCTCCAGCCAGAAGAAACTGCCGAAGTCATCTCTTTGTTTGCGACACTAATCCGCATGGATCATCTGAACGCCGCCGGGGAGGAGTCCACCGGCGCCTTGGTGCTTTCTGACAATGATATTCTTCATGAGGCAAAGAAACATATTGATGCGGGTAGTGGTAGAGATCTCCTAACAGTCGTCTGCGAGACAATGGACTACTACATGCAGGTTGATCTTGCGGAGAGCGAGGACGTTGTCGTCACTATCCTGAACTCTTGCGTCCAATTCCTCGATGCGGTCCTGCCTATTTACCCCAGCAGAGTGTGGTCATATCTTTCTCGATGCGAGCTTTTAAGCTCCGAGTCCAGAGCTGGTAAGCTCACCAAGGTCGTGGGAAGCCTCGATCTGGTCCAGGAGAGGCTCGAATTTTTACTATCTTGTCTCAGACTATTCTCAAACCTTATTGACACTGCAATGACTTCTGCTGTTCAGCGACGAGCTGGTATTCATACCACAAGCAGAAACAAGTCAGATCTGAATCCTTGGCTGGGCACAGCAGATAAAGTTTTGGCAAAAGTCAGCTACGCCATTGCACAAGCAGGCGTAGACATCTTTGAGAATACTTCAACCTGGAGATTTGCGTCTGACACATGTCGCTCGTCAGTGCTCCGAGAGGTTGTACCAATCCTGCAAAAGGTGGTTATGTATAGCTACAGTCTTGGCGATCCTTCGACCTCTGAGAATCTAACTTCATGCTTACGACCTGCCGCCTCATATATTATCGACTGTTTCGTCTCACCCTCAACTGGATCTCTGCGATTCCAACCCCTTTTATCGTCCCTTATCACAGCATTTACAACCGCCGACAGTACCCTCTATCCAAGACGCGTGGAGATGGTACAGGCACAGTTAAATTCAGTACTTGAATTTTCCGCGACACTACTGCGCGTCGCCAATTATCTAGAGCAATCCTCTAGCATGATTGAAACTTACCTTTTTAAAAGCTCCACCCTGCTTGCACGGTTATGCGCAGTATCTGACCATTTCCGCAAACCCACTATGTGGCTGCTTGAGTCTTTAGTTGTAAATGCTGGCAAATCCTCAAGTGAGCCCCCGTCACTGCTTGGTTACTTGGGGCCTCAGATTTCCAAGTCTTTTCTCCAACTTCTATCAACCCTGGGTAAGCCCTTCGAACTCAGGGGCGAGGTCAAAGCCACATGGAAGTTCTTTTCGGCTATTCTGAGGAACCGACAACAGTGGATGTCTAATTGCCTGCTTACGGGGCAGACCCCCAGGGAGGCGATGAAGAAAGACAAAAAGAAGACGGATGCATCTTCCAGCTCGGTATTTGCTACTGGGCTTGCCAAGCTTGGCAAGTTGAAGGATCTAGAAATAAGCGAGGCCCTGGTTATTCTTGACTTTGTCGCCTCGGCCCAGAACTTCTGGCCCTGGACAGTCTTCACACTCCAGAAAGACACCGCTTATCTTGATGGGCTTAGAGAATACGTCCGAGATCTCAAATCATCCAGTATCACCGTAAAGTCTGACCCTGTCCGTGCTGCTTTTGAGGCAAGACTGGCCGCGTATATTGCGGAGACATTTGCCATGCAGCTTTACCACTCGCGGCATCTGGGCAACTCGGGAACATTGGCAAAGAGCCTTATTGGCGATCTCGACTACTACTTGCGTGATGGAGTTGAGGTTGGAGGTTACAACAAGTCTCTTCACAACAACTTCGCCCGAAACTTCTCCAACAAGTATTCAGACTGCCCTGTGGATGACTTCAAGCGGACCGTCCTGGAGCCACGGGAACTCGGCAAGAGTTACTACTATGACTTGGAACGCGCCGATCAGATGCTACGATTTGATCCAGGCTGGAAAGGTCGCAAGGACGATGGTTTCAAGACAGAGATGGAGCGGGCAAACACGAACTTGTCTTTAGTTGACGCTCAGCTCGTAAGTGAATGTGCCTTGTGTATCATGGGCATAGCTAACGACGTTATTTCTAGGCCCTTTTCCATGCATGGGAGTTTCTACTTGTAGAGCTTTCAACATGCATGCCCAAGAACGACACCGTGGAAAAACAAATGCTGCAAGTTGCCCAACAATGTCTCAATGCCAACCAAGGAATTCCAGGCCCTGAACACATCTTCCTAAAACTTGTCGAGTCCAGGGCGAGCCTTGCGCTTG